GCCATGGCTCACGGGCCCAGCCGCTCCGTGGCATGTGGGATCTTCCTGGACCGGGGCACGAACCCGTGTCCCCTGCATTGGCAGGAGGACTCTTAACCGCTGCGCCACCAGGGAAGCCCAGTAGTATTATATTAATAATCTCTAAAATGTAGGTCATTACTGAATAATCAGGGATTAGATATATATCCATCCAGTAATTCTTTCCTTTCATTATTTCAGTAGGTTATTGCTGTTTATTTTCATTAATAACATCTTGATTGTACCTGAAACTAGCTTTAAAATTAATTTTTTTTGTTTTGTTTTGTTTTTTGTTGTTTTTTGCGGTACGCGGGCCTCTCACTGCTGCGGCCTCTCCCGCTGCGGAGCACAGGCTCCAGACGCGCAGGCCCAGCAGCCACGGCCCACGGGCCCAGCTCCTCCGCGGCATGTGGGATCCTCCCGGACCGGGGCACGAACCCGCGTCCCCTGCATCGGCAGGCGGACTCTCAACCACTGCGCCACCAGGGAAGCCCTAAAATTAATTTTTAAATAAATTGAAATTATTTATAACCACTTCAAGGAGAAAACTGGATTAAAGTCTTATTCTAACTTTGCTATTCTTGAGATTTTTCTCCACCGTTTTACTCTTTTACCTAGGTGATTCTTGATTCTTTCCCTCCTACCATGTTCTGCTACTACCTGGCTAGAACCATAGGACAAGGAAATGTATGTAAAACCAATTCTTTGTCAGCAGAGTAGTTCTCTAGTTCTGCTTTGAATAGGGGCGGGGGAGCAAGGAATTGAAATATTTGACTTGTTCTAAATCTGAGTATCACCACCATGTAGAGTCTTAAATTTTTTCCTAGTGTGGTGAGGTGACCTAAGAGGGAACATAATTATATTAGAACAAGCTTAAGGTGTTGTATGATGGGATGGTTTTTAAAAGCTTCAGTTGGAAGCAGTAATATTTTTACTTATATTAATTGCCCATTTTTCAAAGCCATGTAAATTTTTCTTGCTATTTTCTCTTTAAAGTGTCAAAATTCTTTCTTTATCCTAAATTTCTGAGGTCAATTTTTGTTTCATTTCAAAATATCACCTACCCATTCCCAAAATTTGACAGAGATACATTTAGAAAATAACACTCTATTAAATTCACATTTGTCTTTTGTAAGTTTTTCTTTAAACAGTAAGTAATTAGAGATGCATGTATAAAACCTACTCTTTAACTCTGTTCTTTTTTTTTTAATAGCTCATTTATTTTATTCAACAAATATTTATTGAATGCCTAGTATGTGCCAGTCACTGTGCTGGGCACTAGGGTATAAAATAGTTGTGGTCTCTATTCTCATGGAGTGATTTAGTCTAACCAGACACATTCTGATCAAGTGTCTGTAGGAATATTTGTTAGAAAGGAGGAGGTGGGGAGCTACAAGGTACTATGAAATTATATGTGGCAACACATCTTTTTCTAGTTCAGGGGGTTTAGGGAAGACCTTATTCAGAAATGAATGTTTCAGATGAGACGTGGACAGTGCGAAAGTGTTGGTTCACAAGGGTGGGACCATAAGGTTACAAATTTATATTATATGATTTTTCATGTTTAACTAATGTATTTTCATGTTTTAACTGTGAAAAGTAATGGAAGGTTAATTTTCTTTTACGTTTATTTTTATGCAGGCAACAAGAATGGGTGAATCAGCAAAGGGAAGATATTGAAAGGCAAAGGAAACTTCTAGCCAAACGCAAACCTCCCACAGCTAATAATTCTCAGGCACCCTCTACCAATTCTGAACCAAAACAAAGGAAAAACAAAGCAGTCAATGGAGCAGAAAATGATCCCTTTGTTAGACCAAATTTACCACAACTGTAAGCCTGCATTTTTAATTTTCCTTTTTTTAAATTGTTGCCAGTGAGCATGAATGTTAGTAATGGATGTTATTTTTAAGTAAGTAGTAAAAATCACTATGGCCAGGAAGGAAGGCAGTATTGAAAAAATTTACTTCTAAAATAATAATAAGCCCCCAATCTGAATTCTACCTATGTGGAGATTTACTAATCCTCTTTTAAAATGAAGACTTAGGTAGCTAAGAAGAGGCTGGAATCCACTTTTTCTTCCATGTCTGAATGATAGAGTTAGTTATCAGTATTGATTATTCCAATTGAACATTCCTATTAGTGTTCCTTTTTCTGAGAGAACATTAAGTAATCTCAACCTATGAAAGCAGTTCATTCAGAGGTTATAGGTATTGTTTTTCCCCTTTCTGCTTCTCTTTGTTTTCTAGGTTTTCTGCTTTAATGATGAATTACTTTTCATAATTCAAAAGTCAAAGACATTTAAAAATAATTGTTATGTGTTTATCATAGGAAATTCAGAAAATATGAAAGAACATAATGAAACAGTACAGACCTTGATCCCGTCCCACAGAAAACAGCATTGTTAGAATTTCAGTATATAGATGCAACCTGATTTATATAATTTTTCTGTTCTATAAGACCTTATATAAGTTTATGTGAGTAGAAAACACATACACACACCCTCCGTTTTATATTTAATATGTTTCTCCTTTGTTGAGAAATAATGTTTCATCTGTGCTTTGAAGCCCATCCCCTGCTATATCAGGGACCTCTTCTATTGATACCTCCTTTATTTTACATCTTCAGCCTTTTGCTCTCTACTGGTTCCTTCCTTTCGGAAAACAAAACAAAACAAAACAATTCTCCCTCAGTTTAAATCCCTCCAGTCTCCATATTCTGTCATCTTTATAACTAGGTTTCCTTGAAAGACTTGCCTGTGCTTGCAGTCTCTTCTGCCTCACTTTCCAAATCACTCCTTTCTTAACTGAAATTGTTCGTTTAAAGATTATCTCCTTGATGCTAAATACCATAGACATTTGAGTCTTTAACTTGGCAGCATTGGATATTGTTGACTTTTTCCCAAAAGGCTCTTTCTTGCCTTCGTTTTTGAAATAAACTGTTCTCCTAACTTTCATTTTTACTCATCTGGCTACATCTTCTCAGTCTCTTCTTCGGACATCATTTACCTTACCAATTTGTAAAATGTAGGATTTTAAGAATCTGTCCTAGGCCATCTTACTTCTTACTCTATGTATTCTCCTTGAGTATTAGCTACTCCTAGGGTTTCAGTTAGCATGTATATCCTGCTGACATCCAGACTTCTGTCTCCAGCCCACGTTTCTCTCTTGAGTATCATCAAATGTTTGTATCTCAATCTTGAATGTCATATCCTTGCTTAGTTGATATTGGTACTTAAATGCCTCACGAGAGCCTTTAATGCAGCCTGTTCAAAACTGTATTTACTAAACACACAAAATAAAAACTGTGTTTATCGTTCCCATTTCAGTCCCCCCGACACCCCCTTTTTCTCTCTTTTTTCTCTCCACACAGACACCACACACACACACACACACACACACACACACACGCACACACACGCACACCCCTTGCCACCTCCCGTGTTTTTTCAATTAGTACATGGTACCACCATCCTCACAGTTCCACATGCCAGAATTCTGGTTGTCACTCATAGCTTTTTGATCAAGATTCCATTTATTTTTCTTAATCCATTTTAATTTTATTTTCCATTAATAAACAGGTGATGATAATCTTATATTTTGAAGTCTAAAACGTACTTCCTTAAGCCTTTCCTAATTTTTGGAGGGGTTGTTGTAAGTTGGAATTAAATCCTTTGGCTCTTGATATTAAAAAGCGACAACAAACAATTTACTTTTCATAAATTAGTAAATTTGTTGCTTTAAACAGGGTAGATGGGTAGATGAGCAATTATACAGGAGAAAGTGTGTGTTAGCTTAACTCCATCCCTGTAGATATCCAATCTTCTAGAGCTCAAATGCGTCCCCTGCCGCCTCTTACTTGGGTTCTCTCTCTCCACCCCTACCCACCCCATCACCTTTCAGGTTTGGTGTAGGCCTTGAATCCATTTTCAACTTGTCAGAATCTCTTTTTCCAAAATAAAAATATGGTCCTTTTTCTTCCTTGTAAACCTAACATAGCTCTCCATTGCTTGAGTGATATCATCCAAAAAGCACTTCTGACTTGGCAGCTTCTGACCTCTCTAGCCTCATCTTTTGGCATTGACCAGTGCCTCCCACTCACCACTTAGTTTGTTTGTTCTGGGTTTTTTTACAACAGGTTTTTATTAGCTATCTATTTTAGACACATTAGTGTATATATGTACACCACCAAGTTTTAAACTCGAACCCATTGTCTTAATCTCTGCTCATCTTTAAAATCCCATGCTAGATATTTCCTCCTCTTGAGAGCTTTTCCTTGATCCTTGAAGGATAGGAGTTAATTATCACTTTGAGGTATTGCCATAGTGCCCTCTGTGTATTCAGTCACAGCATCATCATTCACTCAGTTAATGACACTAGAAACATCTTAGATGTTTGCCTTTCCCTTGTTCTCTGTGTCTATTTCCATAACATTTTTGTATCTGTCAGTTTTTATTACCACTATCTTACTATAGGACCGCATCTCTCTTTGTTTTTTAAAACTTAAATTACTGTTTGTTACATATCTCATCATGTCATTTTCATGTTTAACCTCCTTCACTGGCCTTCAAGATAAAATTCACTCTCATGAAAACCCTTTATAGGCCTTCTTTTTTCTCTCATTCTCCAATGTCTGCCCTATGCATCCTATATTAAACTCAGGTCTCTATCTAAATGGACTATACTTTCTTGTTTCTGTGCTTTTGTACATCTTGTTCCTTGCCTTTCTTTACCTGTCTCATTTTCCATTTATCATTAAAGTCTTGCCTCCAGTGCCAATTCCAATAGGAAATCCTCTTTGACCTTTTTTCTTCCCAGTTTCTTTCCCATTTCCCCTCAAGTTAGGTGCCTTTTGTACATGCCTGTCAATATTGTAACATTTATCTCACTATTTCATCTCTATACTCCCTATATCTAGTCCAGTTCCTGGCATATGGAAAGTGGTCAGTAAATACTAAATTACAGTACATAAGCATTTGGTTGAATTTCACTTTCTCCTTATCAGAAGGCCATTTTGTCTAGTTTGCCACAGGTGTTTTGCTTCCGACTTGTCTTCTAGGGTGCTAACAGCCCTAACTATTGTTTATTAGTCGTAGACTTGTCTCATTGCCATCCCATTTTATTACATATGTTGACTTCAAACTTACACTGCTGTCTGTTCCTGGAGTGCCAAATGAAGTAATACTACATGGCAGTTAGATTGCATCCTTATACAAATATAGATTTAAATAGGGAAAAAAGCCACAGAAGCATTTTGATTCATATATTTGATTTTAGCAGCCATACTTTGCAACTGTCTTCTGAAAAATTCTTTTGAATCCCTGTTTGTGCAGAACATCTAGCATAGTTATTAGAATAGAGATCATGAATTTCCCATTATTTTTCTATCAAGAAATTAATATAGAAAATAAAGTCACTATTACGTAGTGGTTAGCATTTTAAGCTCTGTAGTCAGACAGATATGGAATCCAGCCCTGACTCTTCCAGGTTGTTTTTTGGTAAGCTGTTTTACTTCTTAGAGCCTCCATTTCCTTGTGAAAGTACCTACATCATAATGTTGAAAGGATGATATGAGGTGATGCTTTTAAAATACTTGCATGGTTCCTGGCTCTTAACTAATTTTTAACTACCAGCAAGATTCAGTCAAGTTTTTTAGGTAGTAATTTCTCATTTTAGTCACAGAGACTTACTATTCAGAGTAAATAATTTGCACACCTAGTATTAGCTGTGGATAATGTCTGAGTGATCCTTGCTTGAATTGTATATTATTAATACATGTTAATCAAGATTTTGACTTCATGTTAAATATGTTTTAAATTGTTTTGATTTTATCTGTATATTTTGTGTTTCACAGAGGATGATTGCAAAGTAAACAATAATATTTTACCTTATATTTTATATGAGTGAAGTTTTAGAGGTCACTCTTTTCTCATTTAAAGCTTAAATTTTAACTCAAGATTATATTTTATATAGCATGAAGTTGTTATTTGATTGCTTGTTTCTGGTAATTAACATAACTGACATTTTTTAAGTAATAAGATGTATTTTCAGAGCAGTTTTAGTTTACAATGAAATTGAGCAGAAAGTATGGTTTCCACATACCTGCTGTCCCCACACGTGTACAACCTCTCCTGCGATCAACATATCCTGCACTAGAGTGTTACACGTGTTACCATTGATGACCCTACGTTGACACAGCATTGACACCCAAAGTGTAGTGTGCATTGGGATTTACTTTTGGTGTTGTATATTCTCTGGGTTTTTACAAATGTGTAATTGATGTTTTAAAAATCCTGTCTGGGGCTTCCCTGGTGGCGCAGTGGTTGAGAGTCCGCCTGCCGATGCAGGGGATACGGGTTTGTGCCCTGGTCCGGGAAGATCCCACGTGCCACGGAGCGGCTGGGCCCGTGAGCCATGGCCGCTGAGCCTGCGCGTCCGGAGCCTGTGCTCCGCAACGGGAGAGGCCACAACAGTGAGAGGCCCGCGTACCACAAAAAAAAAAAAAAAAAAAAAAATCCTGTCTGAAAAAATCTTTCATTGGTGAATTTAATCCATTTTAATTTCATGTATTTACTTATTTATTAGGGCTTAAATCTCATCTTTCTTCTCATGCTTTCTATTTATCCTGCCTAGTCTCTGTCCTTTGTTCCTTTTTTCTTACCTTTTCTTGGATTGCTTAGTTTTTGTTTCTTTTTCTGTATTAGAAGTATGTTGTGTTTATATACATACATAAATATACACACACACCCCTACCTAAAGACATTGTCTTGTATAGTCAGTGTTCATCTAAACTTTACCTATGTATTTATCACTGTTTTGTTCTTCATTTATCCT